GTTAGTAATGATTATGTTTGTTGTTTTCATTCTTCATACTTGTGCACAATTTAGAAGAAGATATAAACAACGGGACCGTTATAGATGAATTAGCATTAATCATCGTTATGTTGCTAATGTCATCTCTATGATTTAAGATTCACTTATTCATGTTGATGGAAAATATTAACACTATAACCATTGTACAGTCTTGATCAATGTGTAAATTACTGACTGCAATGATTTGGTGCTAATAATTTCATTGAACAGAATCTAATAGTGATGGTGCAATCTTTTAGTGGGAGAATGTTGGCCATATTATGTTAATCTAGTGACGTAATATAATCATTGAAACCAAGTGGGAGATTGTAAGAATTTTTCTTAAATATGGCTTAATGTGGCTTATGCATGATTATATTAGATTCATCTCATTAAGCAAGATACATATACATCAATTAGATGGTGACTAATTATTGATGAATGCACCTATATGTACATAGTGTATTGAAGACTAATGGAGATAATGTCAATGCATTGAATGTGATAGATTCATTATGAATGAATCTTAGAGATGCATTATTTATCTATTATGAATGTAGAAGATACATTAATCTATTTAATGAGTTCATTAATATAGAAGATGCATTATGTATCATAAATGTAAAAGATACATTAATCTATTTAATGAAGTTCATTGAATGAATCGATTCTTTGATGGGAAAAATACTAATATAAATAGCGTAAGGTCCCAAACCACATTCTCTATCACAAAACTCAGGTTGCCACCACAAGAAGGCTCCCATCACCTAGAGAGAGAGAAGTAGTTTGAAGATCTTAGACAAGTAAAAAACTTGAAGATCAAGATCTTCTATTCAAGGTTTCTTTATTAAGGATTTCATACTATCATGGATCAAGGTATGTATACACTTATTTTGTATAGTAGAAATTCATGTAGTTTTTATGTATAGAATTGAATCCTTAATAGTTTTTAATTTATGTTCCGCAAAGTTTTCTATCAGGTCTATGTTACATGAATTTTTCTATTTCTTCTACAATATTCGTGTTCATCACAAACAAGAAAGATAGGAGTATGAAATATCTGTTCAACATCTGTGTCTAGTTTAATTATTTGGATCCTCTAGGTTTTTTCTTTTTGGAAAAAAATAAAAATAAATAAAACTCACATTTGGCTATTAAAAAAAAAAAAAAAAAACTACATACCGCCATTACTTGTATTGTGATAAGGCAAATCAATTCAAACTAGAGGTTGAGCTGCAGGTTAACTTTCTAAAAATTACTATATATTTCAGGTTGAACTTGAATAGAATCTCATCCCAATTGAACCAGCCTAAATTTTACAGTGTTTAAATTTATTTATTTATTTTTAAAAGTAAACTGCATGAAGAGATGCAATTACAATGAGCATGCTAGCTCACTCCATGTATTGGAGATAAATGATAACAAAACCCTAGATATGCAAACCAATCATTGGAAAAATTTGATCATACTTGATGCACTGGGAAGTACTTTGTGTACCCCTTTAAAAAGTGTAAGAAAACCAAATTGTGAGGGGTTGTTTTCTTGTGATTTTAGATGAAATTAAGCAACTTGTGAGCGGTTCTTGCACTAATTAAGCGACTCAATCATGTTTTAACTCATTAAGCATTGATGACTCAAGTCCACACATTTATAAACTTCACATTCATTAGGATTAGGTCTTGTCAACTTTTGATATGATTAACCAATCCATCATGTTGGAATTACCAACCAAACATTCTAACTATTTTTTTTTTTTTTAAAAAAAAGGAAGGCTAAAAATCAGTGTGCTTGATTTGAGTTTTCTGAATTAAGTTTTTTGAAAATTGAGTTTTTTGGTTTTCGTATTCTTTTGTTTTTAGCGAATATTTTTTAAATTTTAAACATTTTTTTTACTTTTTTAGATGCACCTTAGTTAGATGTATCTAAAAAGTAAAAAAATTGTGAAAAAATATTTTAAAAAATTAATAAATACATAAAAATATAAAAAATGTACTGAATTCTTATATTTTTTTTTGTATTTTTGGTATTTAGTGAATTTTTAAAAGATTTTTTTTACAATTTTTTTACTTTTTAGGTGTATTTATGTTAGGTGTATCTAAAAAGTAAAAAAATTGCTTAAAATATTAAAAAAATTCAGTAAAAATAAAAAAACACGAAAAATAAGAATGTAGAATTTTCTGAAAAGTGTTTTCTAAAAAATGAAAACAAACAAGTTTTTAGGAATGTTATAACTGTTAAAACATGTGTAAAAAAGTGCATTATAAAATGTGTACAAGACACATAAAAACATTTTCAAATATATAAAAAATATATTAAAATTATAAATATTTTATTTTAAAATCATTTATCTTATATGACGGCAAACACTCTTTAATTAGATTGAATGGTACTCATCCTCTTTGTCAAAGAATGAAAGCTCTACAATAAGGTGCCAAATGGGCTATCGAAGGGTTCGCTATTAGAGGAATATATGAAATTGAGCACTTGGGCTGTCATTCAAGACTCATAGGAAAATTTTAAAAACAGCAATGGTAGAGGGCCCAAATTTTGTGACTCAAATGTGGCTCAAATAGCCAAAACGACGTCGTTTTGAGTACAAAACAACATCAAAATGGCCAAAACGACGTCGTTTTGGCCATTTAAGCCATATTTGAGCCACAGAATTAGGGCCCCCAAACATTTTTCTTTTAAAAAATATTTATTGCAGAAGATTTCTAGTTTTTAAAGGCAAAGATAAAAAATGTTTAGTCTAAGATCTTTAAAAAGTTTAAGCTGTTATCGAGAGAGATAGATAATGACCACAATACTCAACATAATTTTCTCTTATGGGGTGGGTCATTTCTTTTTGTGAATTCCACGCCTAAGTGAAAGAATTATATCTAATTTTATAATTGATTTCTGTACAAATAAAATAACTGTATGAAGTCATGAATATTCTTCACTTTATGCAAAGAAAAGCCTAAGGCTGTGTCTGGTGAAACTCTTAGATCATAATTTTATCCCTCCATTTGCACCCTCCGTTTGGATATAATTTTCAAAAATCATTTCCACACCCGCGTTTGAAAACTCGTCTATCCGGTCATCCCCCGATTGTCCAGAATAGTGTTTAGTTTTTTTTTTTGACACCTTTTTTTTTTATTTTATATTTTAAATAAAAAAATATTTTTGAATTTTTAAAAAATATTTTTATGAGTTTTGAATAAAATTTTGAGTTATGTGTTTGGTTATAAATTATAAGTTTTTAAATTAAATATTATGTCATATCATTCATTTCAAACTCAATTCAAAATTCTTTTCAAACCTCTTTTCAAAACTTATAACCAAACAAATTTTTCACACTCACATTATAATTTTAAAACTCATAAATTTAAAATACATTTCTATTCTCAAATTATAGTTCTAAAACCAAACACAATTATAATTCTAAAACCAAACACTACCTAAATTATGGTAATGTGTTTCATGGAGGACCAGGGACCACCATTCCTGATAGGCATATGGGCGGCGCCATCTTCAATTGAGGGTATTCACAACCATGGAAATTTATTTGGGTTGAGGGTATTCACTGATAAGGAAATTTATTTCGGAAAGGAAAATGCGTTGGACCCAGTGGGGGTGTTGGGGAATTTATACCACGGAGAAGTAAAGTTGGATTTGAAAGATTTCAACTATAGTTAAGTGGCATCCTCAAATATTTCCAAGATTTCAACTATGGTTAAGTTAAGTGGCCTCCTCAAATATTGTTGGGAAATTCAAATCAGTGATATTTTGTAAAAATAATTATAAATTAATGATAAATTTTATAAATATTAATGATTATAATTTTTTATTAATATATAATTATTTTTTAAAAATTGCACTTGGCTGTAATTATTCCAATTTATTTCTCACATTTATATATATTTACAATTTATTAAACATATCATATCACGTGAACGAAACACACTATACACATAACAAAAAGAGAATAACTCGTCACACATAAATTTGTGTTTTGACTTAAAATAACTTACATATACTTACATATACGAAAGAAAAATTTCAGTATATAAATAAAATAGAGAATAGATGTAAGGTAATCTTTATGTATGGTTTCATATTTAATGACGAGCGAGATTTTTATTTATTTATTTATTTATTTATTGAAAATGACATTTAAAACTAAAAAAGTAGTTTAATATACAAAATATATATATGGGAGCTACTGCATGTACTTTTTTAAAAAAGTGTATATTGTATATTGTACTACAACCTACGTAACATAACCATAACGTTATGTAACAAACATAACAATAAGTCATAACTTTTTAAATTTTTTTTTTTTTTTTACCACAATAGTCTGTAATATTTTTCACCACAAATAGTTTACAACATTCACACCACACAGTTTATAACATAATTATAATGGTTCATAATTTTCACTTTAAGTTTTACCCTATAATGTTTCAATTCATAGCTTTTACTGCAAATATAAGACAAGTATTTGCTACTTTCACTATAAAAATCGATACTTTCTTATGGTAAGGAATATGTAAGGTTACATTTCCCGACATATATAAAAATCCGACGCCTCTCTCAGTTTGGGCATTAGGCAATTGCCTATTTAGTAGATTCGGATCTTTTCTAACACTTTCTTCTTCTCGCCATTATCCAACACTTTATCTAAAAGTTATAATTCAACAACTAATCATTATCATATTTTATGGCCATTAAATTAAGTGTTGGAAGATGGTTAGAAGAAAGTGATGGAGAGTGTAAATGCAATAGACCTAGAAGCGAGAGAGAGGGAGAGAGTTGGGATATACAAAAATGTTAGAGATTTTAAAAATTCTATCAAAAATTCTACTAGATGTTTCACATGAGTGTAGAATCCACATAAGACTCACATTATGTAGGTCTCATACTTTGATAAAATTTTTAAAATCTTTAGCATTACATCCAATTCACATATATGCTTGTGAATGCTCTACATAAACAAACAACCTTCGGCTCTTCCTAAGAGGAGAATTGTGGTAACATGGCTTTGTTGTCCCATCCAAAAACAACGCTCCATTGGTCCACGTGGATCCATAACACAAAATTCCTATCCTGGAGTAATTATCTTATATTCCTAGAACACAACACAATGTTGGTTGTGTACCCATCTAATAATATGCTCACATGATTTAAATAAATATATAAATAATTAACAGATCATAAAATACCATTAATTGGGCACACAATCAGGTAGTATTCCAAATTTGTGAAAATTTCTGTCTATCTCATAAAAAAATTTAATGTAATGGCATGAACACGCAATATCACCACATTTTCAACCAAACATTTTTTTTAAAAAAACTTTCTCAAAAATTGTCTCAAGAAACAAATCAAACAAGGCCAATATATTGTCGATAATGACGTGATATTATCATCACACTAAACATTTACTCACCAACCCCAATTCTCACTACTTGTCTGGTCCATTCTTAGATTCTAAAATGAAATCACACATTTTATATTTTTCACTCAAATTTGTCCTTCAAAAGCCTTCACCATATATCATTCATCCCCTTACATTTATTCACGATGGAGCTCCCACCATTATCATTACCTTCACACATCTATCTCTCTCTCTCTCTCTCTCTCTTGATGTGTAGTAGAGAGAAAAATGATTTTAAATTTTTTTTTTTCAAAAATATTCAACCAAACGCATTTAAATTTTTTTTTCCCTCAAAAATTGTCTCTCTAAGGGAAAAATCAAACAAGACCAGTATGTTGTCGATGATGACGTGATATTATCATCACACTAAACATTTACTCACCAACCCAATTCTCACTACTTGTCTGGTCCATTCTTAGATTCTAAAATGAAATCACACATTTTAAATTTCACTCAAATTTGTCCTTCAAAAGCCTTCGCCATATATCATTCATCCCCTTACATTTATTCATGATGGATCTTCCACCATTATCACTACCTTCACATCTCTCTCTCTCTCTCTCTCTCTCTCACACACACACACACACACACACAAAGAATTCATCTCTGCAACTGCATTACAGAGAACCTCATGTCTGCCACTCTTATCTTGTTTGTCTCTCATACCTTTCTTGTTCAACCAGAAAAAAAGTTCATTTTCACCTTTTTTCGTTCTCTCTCCTAGCCCTTAATGATTCATTAATTGCATAATCCTTCCAAACTCGGATCGAAGCATATCAGGAAAAAAAAAAAAAGTTAGAAAGAGAGGCACTTACCCTTGTCACTGGCCAACAACCATGCTATTTATAAGCTCTTCCAACCAACTTACCAGCACGACACAGCTTAGCAAACTCTACTTGAGCTTTTGACAAATTCAAATCCACGTAATGTCGTTTTCGTATGCAAAAAACTTCCTACAACTCTTCAGTGTGGATGAATTTCAAAAGGGTATTGGCTGCCCCAATGGCTTCTTCTCTAGTGATGTCCTCATCCCGAGTCTTGGAGCCAGTATCAACCACGCAACCAAACTTCGAAGATACATAATCTCCCCATTCAGTCCCCTGTACAGGTGATGACCTCTTAACTCTGCCTAAACACGCACTTTTTTCATCAAGAACTGCTGTTTCTCATTCAATGTTCTTCATTTCAGGGCTTGGGAAGGGTTCTTGATCGTTTTTGTTGTTTTCTTAGCCTGGATCTGCCCGTTTGAGTTTGCATTTCTGAGCTACAAGCAAGATGTGCTTTTCATAATCAACAACATTGTCAATTGCTTCTTTGCCACCGATATCATTCTCACATTCTTCGTAGCATATCTTGACAGCCAAACTCATATTCTTGTTGACGATCCTAAAAAAATTGCAATCAGGTTTATAAAAGCAGCATATAACCATAAACCAATAGAATCCAATAGATCATTTACCTATTTATTTTCCTGAGATATCACTGACCACTCTTTGTATGATCTTTTTCACTTGCAGGTACATAACAACCTGGTTTGTTTTCGATCTCTGTTCAACAGTGCCATTTCAATCGCTCAGCCTCCTGTTGACAAATCATAGCACTGGAATTGGCTTCAAATTGCTCAACATGCTCAGACTTTGGCGTCTCAGACGAGTCAGCGCTCTGTTTGCAAGGTTTACCAGATTCATTTAATCCCGTCTTTGGTTTTCCAAATCTTGAATGAATTACGCTGGAAGAAGCACAATACTCACTGCAGTTTTCTTTTCTTCAGACTGGAGAAGGACATCCGGTTCAACTACTTCTGGACTCGGTGTACAAAATTAATCTCTGTAAGCTGCCAAACAATCTATCAAGTTTCTCAGTAAATATCATAATTACAGCTGCAAACAAGCCGAATCGAGCTTTGCAGGGCTTGAGCAAGCTCAGTTCGAAAATTTAGTCCAGCTCAAGCTTGGCTCGATTCAAAGCTTGATAGTGAAAAAAAACGTTGGCTCAATAATCAAGCTTGGTCGGCTTGTTATTAAATATGCATATATAACATATTTTATAAAATTTATATTATTCAAACAAATAATACACAAGCCGAGCTTATTCTAGCTTGAGCTCGACTTGTTCATTAAATAAACCTAAATATCAGGCTCAAGCTCATTTATATACATAACGAACTGAGCTGCACCAAGCCGAGACAAGCTCGCAAGCTACTCGATTCATTTGCTGCCGTAACCATAATGTCATATAGCAACAAATTGAAAACATCCGTTTCTTTCATTTCTATTGGTCAGGTTACACTATTTGCAGTACACTGTGCCGGATGCTTTAACTATTTGATTGCGGATAGATACTACGATGCAAAGAAAACGTGGATTGGTGCAGTCCACCCGAATTTCAAAGAAGAGAACATTTGGGATAGATATGTGACTTCGATTTACTATTCTATCACAACACTAACTACCACTGGTTATGGGGATTTGCATGCCGAGAATCCAATAGAGATGATGTTTGATATCTTTTTCATGCTATTCAACTTGGGATTGACATCATACCTCGTCGGAAACATGACAAACCTCGTAGTTCATTGGACCGGCCACACGAGAAATTTCGTATGTTCTCTCTCTCCTATAATTTTGTGCAGCTTCCAAGCTGGATTTCACCTGTTTAAGGTTGTAAAAGATCACACTATAACTAGAATATAGAGGGAAGAATAGAAAACTTGTTAAATAGTATGTACTGTCACCTAGAGCAGGGTAAATATATATGGAAAATTTCAAACACACTCACAGCCTAAGAAGCACGGACACGGATATGCCAATATAACAATTTTTAAAAAATGCACGACACGACATGACACGCAAAGGACATACACAAAATATATAACATAATATATTTATTATTTCATTTATGTTACATGGACAATGCCACACTATTTTTACTTGATATTCATATTTCATATGGCGAAGGCATAGTTTTTTTCCCCCCACCCCCTCAAAAAACACCTCATTGGCGCCAAGCGTGAGGGAATGCTAGACGTTTGGTAATTTCTCCTCCAACCAGGAGAAAAGATCCCATTGAAGCAGCTAATCCCATGCATATTATGCCTTGCAGTAATGATTCCTCTAGCATTACGACCTTTACCACAACGATGCTGTCCATAAATTAAGGAAGCTACGTCTGAGTTAAACTTGGAGATGGAAGTCTTCTTTTGTTTCTCGATGGTGAAGTAAGACCAAGCTTAGGTACAAGTACGGGTATGGAAGTAGATTTAAGGGTATGAGGACTTGGCCAAAATTAAATTCATGTTTTTATATTTTTAATCTATTATATATGATAAAATGATGTTATATGCAACATATAAAAATTTAAGCTGCTAGAGAGAGCGACAACTTATTATTTATATTATATTCTCAACACGCCCCTTCATGTGTGGGTAGGGTTTTCTTCGTAGCAGGCCAAACATGTGCAAGCATTTTTAATTATCGGGTAGGCATTCTGATACTATATTAAATTGTTGACCACCAACTTATCTAAAAGCTTAAGCTATTATAGAGAGAATGTCAACTTTATTATTTATATTATATTCTCACCAGTCACAAAGGAATTTTACTCATTTTATAGCAATTATACAATAATATATACATATAATGAACGCTTTAAATATAAATATATAAGAAGTGTCCGATGGAAACTATCGGACACGTATCTCACACCTTTGTCCAATTATTGGGTGTCCAACATGAATATTTGATTTAAATTGAAGAGTCTATGTAACATAGCTTATTTATATGAAATATATTATTCAAGGATAACAAAAAATACAACATAATGCTAATTGCTATAAATATGATTGTATACTAATTTTTTTTGTTCAAGCTTATAATAAGTTTCATGGGTGTCTAGATGATGGACATGTGTATCTCCAAATGTCCGGATATAAAAAATTATATATATAAAAAAGAAAAGAAAAGACATGTTCAAATGAGTGTCTGACAAGTGTTTGGAAGTATCCTATGAGTGTCATGTTCGACATTGACGCAACACAGACACGCCACTATTTTAGAAGTGTCCATGCTTCTTAGCAAGCAGCCATTAAAAGACAAAAACAAGATATGCAAGTGCATGATACATTATTGTGACTAGTAAAGTAAGCATTCATTTTAAAGAAGTTACTCTAAGCATTGTAGTTTACCAGCTAGGTTCTAATATTTGAATCCTTTTCCTGTCGTCATAGTATATTTTCTCAAACTTGTCTGTCCTGTTGTTAAAGAACTTAACTTTCTTTGGTGCTGTAGAGGGAAACAATCAAAGCTGCTAAAGAATTCGCTAGACGAAATCAATTGCCCTCTCACGTGCAGAACAAAATTTTATCTCACATATGTCTCAAGTTCAGAACAGAAGGATTGAAACATCAAAACACATTGAACAGTCTGCCAAAAGCTATTCGTTTGAGTATTGCACACTATCTGTTCTTCCCTATTGTTCAAAACGTCCATCTTTTCCAGGGTGTTTCTCATGATTTCCTTTTGCAATTGGTATTCATCTTTTTTCTCTCTAGTTTCTCCTTTTTAACCTTTGTATGTTATGAATGAAATCTTCTTTTACAAAGAAGCCAGAAAGCAAAGAGCTGAGTTTTGATTCTAAAGCTAAACCTAATTTTCAAGGGGGAAAGAAAGAAGAAGGTTGTACATAATTTTTATAAGATACTTAGAAATACTTTCTTTGGAAAAGGTTCCTGAAATGGAAGCAGAATACTACCCACCAAAGGAAGATGTGATCTTACAGAACAAGGCTCCAACAGATCTCTACATACTGGTCTCAGGAGCAGTGGTAAGTGAGCTTAATATTCATTTAATTACAACATTGTACTTGTAAATCCTCAATAATGCTTAACTCTAACAACTTTAGATCGGAACAATTTGTGGATACAGGATTTGATTGCACATATTGACGGGCATGACCAAGTATGTAATTTTCAACAGTAATAGATTCACTATTTTTAGAACAGAGAACATAACTAACCTAACTTGACATTCCCTCGTGCACTATACAGGCTATAGGAAAGGCTGTTGCAGGGGATGTGTTTGGGGAAATAGGGGTTCTATGTCATATGCCACAGCCATTCACAGTTCAAACCACTGAGATTTCTCAAATACTAAGGCTCAACGGTTCTATACTGATGAACATTATTCAAGCAAATACAGAAGATGGGCACATTATAATGACCAATCTTTTCAAGGTATGAACAAGATTAAACTGAAAATATATATATATATATATATCAGTTCCCACCCAAACACACAGCAAGAAGGTTTGATTTCTATATTTCTCATTTACAGAAACTGAATGGGCTCAAAAGCTTTGGTTTTGTAAATCAACAAAGAGGTCCAGATTTGAACATGGCTGAGTGGCTTGATGGGGTACTGGAAAGAGATAGTTTTTCTAATGTTGTATGTGATAAGCCATCAGTATGCCAAAAGCATTCACATGGAGATCTGTTGGTACAAGATATGAGGGCTATCAACTTCCATAATTCAGAGGTTGCAGGGAAGAATGAAACAGGAGAAGTGCATAATCTTACTGGACAAGGAATGGATGTAAATTCAACAGATGACAGTAACCCAACAGTTCTTCAGGTTGCTGTTCGTAACGGGCATCTTGAAATGGTTAGAATTCTGATGGAAGAAGGACCAAATACACATAAACCAGATGCCAGAGGGTGGACCCCGAAAGCTCTAGCTGAACAGCAAGGAAACAAAAGCATGTATGACCTCTTACCAAGTTATGAAAATAGATGGGTATTAGATGAACAAAAAATAGATTTTGTTAGCTCAGAAACAGATCACAACACCAGGAAAGGTCAGTTCAAACCCACAAGAATCAGTGGGCTCAATCGTTTCAAGTCTCAGTTTAGACAAGTACCCACAATCATCAGCTCAGGCCATTCTAGCAGTTCGACTGATAGCGATATTAACGAATTGAATAAGAGAGTCACCATTCACATGAAGTTCCAAGAAAACAGTAAGTCACAAAAGCAACTTGCGAAGCTAATAATCCTACCTGATTCCCTAGAAGAGCTATTCAGGATTTCCGGTAAGGTTTGTTTGACCGCAACGAGTACTTTGACAATGAACCTGAAATTTCAGAATAATCATTTATTAGTTGATACATTCAAATAAATATATAAAAAACAGAATATAGTAGAAAAAATTAAAACATTGAATACTAATTGGCGATGCTGTTATACTAAACAGACATGTTTTTGTTTATTAGTGCTTTATCTGTTTGTTATCCTGCACCTTGTGGTATTGCAGGTGAAAAATTTGGAGGCTATTATCTTACAAAAGTCGTTAATGCAGAGAACGCAGAAATAGATGACTTAAGTGTTGTCCGAGATGGGGACCATCTGTTTTTCCTTTCAAAATGAACTTGAAAGTAAAGATTGCACTGTGACCTAAAAATCATTGAAAAGCCACAATGTACTCATGTTTTTTGCTTCTAGCTTCAAGGCAATTGTATAATGATAAATTCCAACAAAAAGAAGACTACATCAATCAATTCAATGGTCTCTCCAAAGTAATTAAATAATACTGGAAAACTATAAAACTAGAAAAAAAAAAAAAAAAAAAAAAATCAGTTACATATGGTTGCCTTTGACTCATTACAGATGAAAGAAAATAAAAATAAAAAGTCAGTGGATCACTCCATATCTACTGATAAAAACACATTTTGCAAAATTGTCATCGTCTGGTGGTGGCATACAGATACAGAATTCCAAAGCATTTTTCCCTCAGGTTTTCCTATGTGACAGAGGGATGGGTGCAGATAAACCATCAATTCACTGCACAAAAAAACAACCAAGTTGAGCCACTGCTAATACTTGTCAATATCATCCCCAGATTACCATGGCTTTCAGATGCAACAGTAGAACTGTGTAAAATTTTCACTCATTTTTCAATTTGTGCCCACAAAATCTATTAAGCGAGCGCAACATTATGCTTTAAACAGTATAAATGCTTTGGCTGTAGTCAGAGTATCATTGCCCCTTGGTAGTTCCTTTGATAGGAAAATGATGAGCTTCTGAGTTAAAAACAAACTCATCCAGAGCAATGACATTGTTGTCCCCAAACAGCAAGTACAGATACTTCAGTGTTTCACCCAAGAAAAAGGTCTCCATCTTGTCTCTTCTTTGAGGAGGAAAAACAGTTACATCATCTAGAGAAGTGTACCCTCCAGAATCGACCTTCGTGTATTTCTCAAATGCCTTAAAGATCTCCCAACCCCATTCACGGTATCTGCAAAAAAACATGATAGATGGTCTAAATGAATTGCACAACTTAAAAGATTAAGCAGTGAATGAAACTTAAATTTATAATATAGGAAAAATTAATACAGCTAAATCCACGGAACGTACTTCAGATCTCCAGTTATGCGATACAAGATGAACAATGATTCAACAGTTTCAGGACGCAAAAGATTGTGATGATCAGCGTGTTTGATAATTATGTCATGCACATATTTTGAGCTCTTGTTCCCACCATCTGGACCTTCTTCAGAATGTCCCTGCTTAAAGCAGAACCTGATATGAAATCTTTTCACAAGCACAATTGACAAGAATTGAAAAAGAAAAAGAAAAAAAATAAATAACAGTTTTGCAATTAACAAATAATTTAACGGTAAGTGGGTATAAATTTTTCCAAAAAAGTGCACAGAATGCAGTAGTAGCAGTACTGCAATCTATGCACTTTTCCGTAGAAAAAACCGTGATTGTAGCATTTCTGATAATTTAATGGCTCACTTAATAGACGCATGATCACTGTTTGGTTAAACCTCATTTTAAAATATAAAAAAACTAACTGACCTCCGTATTGAAGTAAGCAATTTCTGGAGCAAGACCGGTAGAAGTTACTGAATACATCTCAAAGCACGTCTCAGCAAGACTTTCTGCAAGCTTCAGATTTTTCAGGTCTTCAAAGGTGAGCAAATTGGCTCTCATAGCTTTTTCCTTTGTTATGCCTTTGGTGGCACCAATAGCCAGAGTACCAGAAAGAAAACAAACCTGAACAGGGAAGTTAAATACTTCTATGTCATGACACGATACTTAATAAATGATAAAGGATATTAAGAGTGCAATAATGAGCTTCTTAAGGTCCAATCCAATGAATTGATTGCTTTTACCGACAGCACAATAAAATGAAGCCACTGCTGCTTATATCTTGTGCAAATACATTTAGGATTACATATGCTATCATATATAATCGAAAAATCACAAATATACATAGAGTTCAAACCGTGTTTAACATCTGAAGTATGTATTTCTAAATTCTAAACAGATCTGAAGGGTGGACAAATGGAACCATCTATCTTATGATTTCTGAAAACGAAAAAAAATGAAATGCTCCCTTGAAAACAAACTATTGTTCTCAGGTAAAATTAAGTGTATATCAGATTATCATCTTTCTAGAGCATTTTGAGGACAAACTATACAACATAACAAAGAAACATGCCTAATAGTAAAAGTAGTACTAATATACGGAAAGGAAGTGTCTAGTGAGCACAAAATGAAATGTTGTTCCTTGTCTACTGAGTGCATGATTGCATTCATCAAACATAACACAGATGCTGACTGCATATAAAAAATTGCAGATGAGAAAAAGAATAAATCTCCTCTAACAATCCTCATATTAAGGGAACTGAATTACATGAAGCAGCCAAAAGCCTTTTAGCCTCTTAGCCTTACAACCCAGCAAAAAAGTGCTTTATGTGAACCATATGTCGACCAAGAGGTTAAGAATCTCAAGATGCTTCTACATGAATAGAAAGAGAACCCAGTTGTATTTCATTGGAAGAAGTGAAACAAACAATTATACTCTAACTAGTCAACTACTACGTAACTTCTGACAGTTAGTATCAGTGAGCCATGGTGTGAAATGGTATTTTATTTGGAAATACTATAAAGTCAAGAACCACATACCAGATGATCCATTTTGGGACTAAAGGCACCACTAGGTCCATAAAGCAGTTCCCCCACAAAAACCAATCCATTTGGGTTAGATTTTCGAACAAGAAGGTGCCTAACACCCTTCATTGCTTCTTCATACATGTCACGTAAACATGTCAGTTTACTATCTCACTGCTGAAGCCATACTTTAATAAGGTACTCATAGTAGCTGTCACCACGAGATCCCAGTCTAATGTTTTCCCCATTAAATTCACCAGTATGCGGGCTGCAGTTATGAGAAGAAAAAAACACCAGTGAGTATCCATGGTTATCCCAAAGTGACCAACAAATCTAATTAAACGACAATAAATCAAAGGTTCATTTTAAAAGAAATAAAACATTGTATCATACACCTATATATTATAAATAAACACTTTAATAATGCATTTCTTGGAGCCCCTTTCCATCTGGGCAGTGCAGGATAAATGGTGGATGAATTTTTTGCCTCTTTGAATTGTGTGAAGGTGAAACCCTAAAAAAGAAAAAGCAGACATCCGCTGAAGCTTATGAACTTGAGAGAGAATAATTCATAAATTCGCAATATCAGCAATCAAAGGTGAGATAAACAAATTTACTCTTGGAATATTAAATTTTGCTGTGTGCTTAAGTCTGTAATTTATTGCAACTTTTCTAGTGATTTAATGAAGCCCCAAATGCTATTTCGTTTTCTAAAAGAATCATTTTTTATTTACATTTTCTTTTAAGCTCATAAAAACACTATCAGTGAACAATAAGGGCCCATAATAGCCACCCACCAATGATATTGGATGCTGTGACCAGAGAAACGGATTTCATAAGGGAAAAAAGGCCATCATTATCAAGTCAATTGTCCGGCAGTTCAATAAAAGGAAGGATGAAATAGAGGAAGTTATTATTGAAAAATGTGGAATGATTTATCATGAAAAATTTAGATGTAATGCCCATACTTTATGTAAATAGGAACCAGTCCTTCGACCTTTGGGAGAGTCTTCAAATGTTCCAAAACCTTCATGGATTCAATACTATATTTCGGATCACCAGTTAGAGAGCTGAGATAATTGAATTCAAGTTGTAAAGTGGAAACTTCAGAAGTGCTACTCATTCCATCAGGAGCAGGATGGGCTGTGCGATCATGTAGAACAACATCACTAAAGGGAATAACAGTTAGACTTGAATTAAATGCAATTAGCAGATGATCAGCTAAGTTCCTAGCATTTTCTAGATAGACAATTGGTTTAGGTCCCTTGTGTATCAGGTTCTTCCCTTGTTCTGCCCCGCTTAAATGATAAGCACTCAAAAGGCCACCTAGAACACGTACGGTGGTTTCAAATAAATTAACTTGGCCTTTCTGACTAATCCTCTCTGGAAGGTTCTTTTCAATCCATGAACCTGCTTCAGAAACTACTTCATCAATTCCCATTATCATGGCTGTATCCAGAGCATCCACAACAGTTGCACCTAAACCACCTAAACTATCGACTCCCCTTTGGCTCAGTGGCATAAGTTCATCATAACCCATTGCGTACTTTTTATAGCCAGACCATGCATGGATAAATGCGTTCTTAACACTTTGTTGCCTAGCTCTCCATTTAGATGCTGCATTTAGCTTCTCAGGCTCATAATAGAAATATTGTTACTACTTATTTCATCAGGTGTTAATCTAGGAGAAAGCCTTGGTGGTTTTCTCCAAAACCTACCAACTTTGTTGCTACCATTCGTGTTGAGATTGCCTTCTTTTGCTAGACTACTAACAGAATTGATGGGACTTGTATGAGTTAACATAAGATATGCCAAACCACCAATCATTAGTAACAATAAAAACTTCCCCGTACTACATCTTACACAATCATGCTTCACATTACTGGTGAGTAAAGTCTGAGTAATCATCTGCAGAAACAAGACACAATTAGATTCAATTCAAAGCAAAATCTGTGGAATATCAGCATAGATAAGCAAGTATAGCACATAAAATCCAAAGATTTAAAGAGAGTCTTCCTAGGGGAGAGGTTTAAATGGAAGAAAAACTAGAAGGATAAGGTTGTCAATTCTTGTTATGCACTTCGAAATGATATGAGATGTTTCTAACACTATGCTATACAAAAAAATAGGTTTACGAAGCTCCATAAATAAACTAGGATAAGAAAGCACACCAAAGGAATGGCATTCAATTAACAATAAGCTATAGTTCCCTCTGCAATACATACAAGAATTTGATATGGTAAACAAATCTTGAAAGAAGAATACTGAGACATCCTTGAATATTGTATTGCTACAATATTCAATAAGGGTAATTTGGTATTCCATGTTCAAGAAGCAATATATCATCTTTCAAAATGATGTGCAAGCTAAACGAGCCGCATGGCATGAGAGACTAGTGCAGTAAAAATGCACTATTTAGTGTAATACTAAATAATCCTCTCAATGCTAAGACCTGATAGAGTCGTGCAACATGCGTTACTAGTCAAATAGTGAATCTTTAAACAAAAATGCTTTAGAGCTCTAATATAGGAGCTCTAATAGCTCTAATGGGAAGGTGGGTCCCACCCTGATGTGATGTTTGTGCCTTGTTTTGTTTTGTTTTTTTTTTTTTTTTGCTTTGACACATCATTAGAGCTCAAATTAGAGCTCTATATTTAGAGCTCTCTATCATTTCCCATCTTTAAAACATCTTACTAACCAATCCTATAATTAGAAAGGTGGTCCGAAAAGGGCTAATTTATAGAACAACAGTCATTTGATATCATGGTTTTTTGTGTAATTTCGTAACGACTAATTTACACCTTACTTCTATCTTTCCACAGCTCAAGAACAACCAAAACAACATGGTTAAAACCCATGCTATTAAACCACATCGGCATGGCGGCACAAACAGAGTAGTACTTCACGAGTGGGGCAACAATAAAAAAACCCAATATAGGAAAAGTTCTACAACATTACCCACTGAAAAAATGATTTTTTATTTTGACTTTAAAATGTGTTCTATAAAATTATTATAAGCTCAACCATCAAATATAGTATGATTAATGGCAATAAAAAATTGTCAATCGTATCAATCACTCAAATTATACAAATCAATAGCAACTACATCACAATCCCAGAAATCCCACAACACAATTCAACTAAAAAAACAATTAACACAGCCAAACAAAACCCCAATATGATCAAAATTCACATAAATCAAACACCGATCGTACACAAACAGAGGGTTCGAGATCTAGGTGGTGTTATTTGCAAACCTCGAGACACGATCGTTGGCGAAACTTGGCGTTATCGTAGTGAACATCTTTCATCGAGTACGGCAACGATTTCGACATACTCGATTCAATCACCAGCCAGATTTCCGTGTTCGCATTGCAGATGTGTATGTTAGAGAGAGAAAACCATGAGAGAGTGAGAGAGAGAGTGGGTGGGCTGTGAATTAGGATCGGATGTTGGGGGATCTGTGTTTTTGGAGTCAACGCGCCGGTGAAAGAGAGTGGTGGAAAGAAATTATTCAAACTAACCATCCAATCCAATTCTGTCTTACTGTATGAGGATATACATTGCCACCTTTTATAGCGACAACCAGTAATTTTAAAAACTCAACTGACATGTTGGCGGTGTTTGGAACGTGGTTGGCAGCCTATTTTACCCTCTAACGGAAAAAAATTCAAAAAATCAGCACTGTAGCTGAGTTCACGACCTGCAGTCCGGCTTTATGGCATTAGATTGGTAAAAAAACATTTTTACCCTCTGTTCATTTATCTGTTTGGAAACATGCTCATATCTCTTATCTTTGGGTCTAACTGGAGGCTTTTACAGCATAGTGGACTACCTCTCTCCGGCGGCTCACTTCGGCGGAAATGTTACGGAAAGACCAAGTTGCCGATCGTCGAGGATCTGCGATAGGTACGGTTGCCAAACCCAATTTCTATGCTTCTTCTTCGTTCACAAACTTGGTGTTGCTGCTTTTCCTTTTTTTCTTCACCGATCTGCACCTATGATGATGTAATCCCCTTCAAATATTTTTTCTTGGTTCAACTTCGGTGGTTCAGTCACCGATCTTCCTAGTTCTCTTCTCTGTTCTTGTCCAACATTTTTTTTTTCGTATCTAATTTGATTTTCAGTTTAAATAAAAAAAACTTGACATGATAACAATTATTTCAATTCGTAATGTAATTTTCTGTAAAAACTTTTTCAAAATTATTCTCATATATTAAAATTTGGCTCTCATCAACATTTAATAAAAATTTTCATTTCTATTTCCGAATTATTAAATTGAAAAAACAAAAAAAAATCTTCTTTCATTTAACCTTTTTTCAATGTACAAAAAATATCTGAAACTAATGGACAAAAAAACTAAAACGATGAATTAATTACCTTTTTTTTACTCTAACTTTTTTTTTCTTTCTTCCATGTAAATAAAAACTAAAACGAAGATTAATTGTTTAGAGCATCTTTTAGTTTTCATCAACATTTTTGTTTTTTAATCTAATTTGATTTTCAATTTAAATAGATTTGATGAATTATTAATTTGATAAAAAAAAATAAATCTTATTTCATTTAACCTTTTTTCAGTGTACACAAATTTTAAAAACTAATGGACAAAAAAATAAGTGTAAACTAATGGACAAGTCTGTTCTGCATGTTCAATTTGAATTGCGCACATGTGTTGGAGTTAACTTCATTACCTATTCACCAAATCTGTTAAGCTGTTAACAATCAACCGTTGTTATAACTTAAACACCTATTCCTTCGATCTATACGTATGCCATTATAAATTAACTGTTATATTTCTGGAGATTTGACTGTAATTTTTTTTTGTTCTTTCTTCCATCTAAATAAAAACTAAAACGAACATTTAATTGTATAGAGCATCTCTCACTTTTCATCAAATTTTTTTTGCAATTATCTAATTTGATTTTCAGTTTAAATATATTTGATGAATTAGTAATTAATTCATTAAAAAAATAATTCTGCTTTCATTTACCCTGTTTCCAGTGCACACAAATGTTTAAAACTGATGGACACAAAAAAAGTGTAAAGTAATAGACAAATCTGATCTGTACAGTGAATTTGAATTGCGCAAATCTGTTGGAGTTAACTTAATTATCTATTCACTCAATCTGTTATGTTGTTAACAATCAACTGTTGTTATAAATGTAGATGTTATTCCTTCAATCTGGTATGCTGTTATATAAATTAACTGTTACATTTCATCGAATATACATGTATTGCAATTATAACCCCAATCTGTGGTGCTGTGTTTAGTCATGTATTTGATCTGTGTGTAGTAATATGGCTTCCTCTTTTTCCACAGCCACATCGACATGGCCACAGCGCATGTGTACTTGTGGCTATGGCCATTATTTTGTGAAGGTATCAAGATCTCACAAAAATCCTGGCTGTGCATATTATGTTTGCCCCCCGGCCCGTGGTGAGTTGTAACAAATGATTATTTCTCACTCCATATGTTTGCAAACTGTAATTTCCATAACTAATAAATGTTTTACGTTTCTTACTCATCAGCAATGTGTTAATCGGACTGGTTAGTGTGACGAATCAGGACCATGACCCTGGGTCAACCGATGTCATGCAGTTACGAGCTGATGTAGTGCACATTATTAGTACGTTGCGTGTAATGAAAACGGTGATTTGTGTGTTGTGTGTCATGGTCATCATCTTATTATTGCAAATGTAAACCCCGTAAATCATTACCCTTGTACATAAGTACTGTTTTGAAGAAGTAATGTTTTGAACATGTAACTGCATTGTGATCGTTTGTATGTCAACGCTATATGTTGTTAGTAATTATCGTACTAGTTTTGTTTAACTTTGTGAAAGTTGTCTTTTTCATATGGTTCATAGTTTATTGTCTGAAATGTATTCATCAACTGGGTTCTAATGTATACAATACGTCCTCACATTAGTCGAATGACTGCAACATAGTCGTCTCCTTGCACCCCGTCTAAGAATAAAAGGGTTGGCCCATCAGTTACTGAAGGAATTGTTGATGACTTCAATCATGCACATAAGGCGAACTGGGACAATGCAGTGTGTTAGGGACGCAATATTAGCGGGCCGATGGGTAGGTACAACCATAACCAAAACAGGGTATAACGAAATTGCACTAAAATTCGCTAAGCACACGGGTAGACGTCATGAAATTACACGGCTGAAGAACGAGTACAACAATTTGAAAAGGGAATGGCAGGCTTGGAACAAGTTGATGGATAGCAGTAAGGGTGTGACAGGGATTGGGTTTGACTGGGAAATCGGGTTGTTCACAACGTTAGAAGAATGGTGGGAAAATCTTAAATCGGTATGTACCAACATATATTTTATTTTACGTAATAAATCCTGAAAGTTTGATGGCAACTTGTACTTGTTACTGAAATTATTGGTAGTAAACTTTTCACATATGTAAGTTATGTTCATTTCAAAACATTTCAATACAAAATAACTACAATTGTACCACACTGTACAACATGAAAGATAATTATATTTAACTTATATGAAACTGGCACCTTTAATTTCGTACACACATGTAATAGAAAGTAACTTGTTCGTTGATTGTTCCATGTCACTGTGGCGAAAAAATTAAATTGTAATTTTATTTTTCATCTGCAGACAAACAAGATAGCTTATAAATTCAAGACGAAACCATTGGAGCATGAAGAGTTTATGCACGAAGTATTCGCCGGTGCAACTGCGACTGGCAAACACCATTGGACACCGGGGGGAAGGCTGCTGATGTTGGCGAAGGCGAATCCGACTCAGTGGACTCTCCTGGGTTGGTACCATTTACCAAGCCATATAGATCGGTTGTTCACTCACCTCCAAACTCCCCCACCGTCCACCTTGAAGAAGCAGACCCTGGGACAAAGAGGAAAAATAGAGGTAACACTAGTGGAAAGTCGAAAAAGATCTCTAGTGGAGCATCAGTGCTTGCGGATAGTTTTAATCATCTGTCTAAGGCGATTTAAGCACAGAAGCACCTGACGGTCAGGCACGGAATTGGTGCATCGCAGAAGTATGGCATTGAGCCATGTATGCAACAGCTTATGGCTATCCCGGACTTCATCAGTACCCCCCTATTCCATTTCGCCTGCATTGTGTTAGAGAATGCGGATTATCAGGGAAATATTGATATGCGTGCTAGATGATGAGAATGTAGTTAGTTGGCTTGCGACATTACAGGCTTCAAAAGGGCTGTGAGTACTTGGGTTTGGTCCGTTAGGCAAAAATAGGACCGGAAATGATTTGTTGTAGTGTGGTTTTTGTGGACAAATTCTGTGGGTATCTCTTTTGTTTTGTTTTGTGTGGTTACACTGCGCTGTAGTTACTGTTACTTTGTGTTTGGTGAACGCTACCTACTTTTGTGTTACACAATATAGGACCATGGTGTAACCTTTACTTTTTTGGCATTGTGAACTTTAATGGTTGAATGTAATGTAATGGAGAGTTGATGTGTTCAACTTTAATGGTTCAAATATGCTTAGTTTACAAGTGGATAATTGATGTGAGTGTTGTGTGCATTGTAGGAGTCATCAATTGCGAAATGTGGAAAGGTGAAAAAAGCAACTACGGAAATTACGATGATGTAATCATCGAACTCGTTGAAGAAGAAGAAGACCTACAAAACAACGTAATCGGTGATGCTGCGCAGCATGTAATGGAATATTACCTGAAGTACATAAAGAAGATCCCATGCCGAACTTCTGTTATGACCGGTCGTGCCTGAATTCAAGAATTATTTGATGGGCACGTATGTAGGGGTGAGCAAAATTTGCATATACCGCTGTATGTGTTTCAATCGTTGTGTGACACATTGCGAAGCGACTTCGGTTTACGGGTACCTACAAGACCCCATGGATTACACAGTGAAGAAAGTGTTGCGATGTTCATCCATACGTTGGACGGCTGCACTAACCGAAAAATTCAGGAATGATTCCAACACTCGGGAGAAATGTGTCTCGACATTTCCATGCAGTGTTGGAAGCAATGAAGTTGTTCACAGAAGTGCATTGTAAGCCCACTAGAGATCAAAATAATAGGCATCCATATTAGCGATCCAGAGGGAAATACATGCCTTTCAAGGTTACCATATTAGTTACCGTTATTAGTTACTTTTCATTTTATGTGATGTATGTAAACCTTATGTGTTGTGCGTTATTGGTGCAACACTGTATTGGAACGTTGGACGGTACTCATGTAGAAGCCATGTTGCCTACTCGTGATATCGACACATATTACGGTCACAAAGGATATCCAACCCAAAACATACTAGCAATATGCGACTTCGACATGTGCTTCATTTTCATATCTTGTGGTTGGGAAGGAAGCATGCATGACAGTCGCATCTTCAAGGAAATAATTGAGAATGAACATGCACCGTTCCCGTACCCCCAAGAAGGTAACACATTTGAAATTAAGTACTCATTATTAATTTTGTTGAAAATCTTAAATTGATTGAGCAAATGTAGGTAAATATTACCTTGTGAATGTGGGATATCCAAACAAGAAGGGGTATTTGACACCATTCAAAGGGTCTCGGTATCACCAAGCACAGTTTCGGGATCATGGACGACCCGATAACCCAAGAGAATTGTTTAACGAGGCGCATGCATCATTGAGGAGCGTGGTGGAAAGAACATTTGGAGTGTGGAAATCGCGTTGGAAGTTCCTAAACGACATGCCCGACTTTGATTTTGCGATGGTGTAGATGCCATTGGTTGGTGCGTCAATGACTTTACACAATTTCATCCATAGGCACAAGATAGCTGCTAATGCACACAACGAACATGTCAGTTGTTCCTTAGTTCCAAATGACATGCCCACCGCGGAAGGAGGACAAAATATAGATGATGGCCTCATGGTTGGGGATACGGATGTAGATATGGCCAGAGATGTAGATATGGCCAGAGTTCGCGTTCGCATCCGTGACCATTTGTTTCACATACAGAATCAAGGGCTATTGTGAAATGCTTGTTATGTAATTTGTATGTTAGTGTAATTTGTAATTTCTATTTCTACAATGCAATGTGACTAAGAAAATTATTTAAATTTGTAATTCGTGTAAGGACAATGCAAGTGTGTTGCAAATTTATTATTTTTTTTAAGTACTACATGTTATCATTTACTATTTAAATGTAGATTGTTTTTGTAATTTTTTTTTTAACTAACTGTTTGTATAAGTAAACGCCAAATTTGGTAACCACATTTGTCTATTTCTGTAAAATTTCCTTTTCTTACTTAACTAAATTAAAATTCACCATTCCCCCCCTCCCCCTTTTTTTTTTTTAGCAATTGTTGTCATTGTATATTTTGTAATAGTAATGAATTGCAAAGATTCATCAAAATAGAAAATTTGTAGTATTTTTCTCATTAATTTTTAAAAAGATACAAATATTTTGGAACAAAAAAATATTCGAATAAAACCTTTGGACTTGTTTGGTTTGGTTTTGAGAGATAAATTTTGAAAATAAATTATGGGGAAAGAGTTTAGAAATTTATTATTTGGGTTTGGTTGTATATTTTTGAACTGCTTTTGGAGTATAGGAGTTTTGAAAATAATTTTGTTATAGTTGAATAGATGTGTATGAGAAAAAAAGTGATTGAGAAGAAGAGAGGCTTGACAAAAAGTGATTGATTGATGTATAGGAGATAGAAAGTGGTTTTTATTTTTTTTGTTCCAAAATTCACTAAACCAAACAAAATTTTAATTAATTTTTATATGTGAAAATTAAAATAAATGTTTCCAAACAAATGTTTTTAATTTTTTGGAGAAATAGATACAATTTTCAATTAAATAAAAATTTTAATTAATTTTAATATGTGAAACTAACAGCAACTTCATTAGTTAATTCATTTTAATTAATTTTGCAAACAAATGTTTGCACCCTGCGTCGGAGAGATTGCAACGGTGGCCACGTGGACATTAACACAATTTCTTATAAAAATCAATATGGGCAATTTGGTCAATTTACCTTCTACTATGATTCAAACACATTTTTTAATACAATAATTTCTACAAAATCCATCACATCTTTCCAAGTACACAAACTAAAATACCCTATTAAAATAGTCAAACCACTAAAAAATCTCAAAAAAATTCACTTTCCAAACACTCACATTAATTGATAAAGATGACAACTATAATTAATAAGGGTCACAATTGTAATAGATAAGAATGACATTGAGTATCCGAGAAGTCGTTCAACTATTTGTCTTAGTCACGTCATTCAGGCAGACACCTATATTTGGATGGATCAAATACTTTTCTAAAATAGAAGGATAAATTATACTTTTGTCCCCTTTATTTTTGGCCAGTTTTATTTATTTATTTATCTCTAATTTTATTTTATTTTCAACTTTCACCTTTTATGTTTTAAGTTTTTTCAGTTACTCTTAGAATTAATTTATGTTCAAAATTAGACATAAAAAATATCATGATAATTATCATATAACATTAAAATATATTATTATATTAGAATTTAAGTTTATATCAGAGATGTGAATTATATATAATAAAATATTTTTATATCCCTTAACTGTCAATATGTCATTTTTTGCCTAATTTTCGACATATATTAGATTTAGAAGTAAATTGAGAAAAATTTAAACATAAAGGGCTAAAGTAAAAAAATAAATTTTGAAGGGTAAAGTGAAAAAATAGCCAAACATAAAAAGGATAAAGTATAATGTTTTAAATATTTTAATTAATTTTTAAAGTTTTGTCTATAATTTTTATTTACAAATATTTTACTTTTAAAAGTATTAATAAAAATATTTTGGAATGACGATGTCACTAATGAGCTTCTATATAATTTTTTTTTTTTAAAAGATAGTTTGAATAATGTACTTCCAGTCACGTTATAAATGTTTGTACTTTTTTTGTACATATATTTTTCTTTGAGATATTAGAAGGTCACAATTTTTGTGGTCACAATAGCTCAAAATTGTCAAAACGACATCGTTTTGGCATGTTTTGCATCCAAAACGACGTTTGGCATGTTTTGCATCCAAAACGACGTCGTTTTAACAATTTTAAACCATTATAACCCAAAAATTGTGACCCTAAAAAATTTTCCATAATAAAATTGATCAAACCATTTTGTTTGTTTGTGTTACAAAGACATTAGAATACAACACGGGCTACGGAGCATTTTTGTATTAGAATATTCCTGTAATAATAATGAAAACATATTCTATTTTTAAATGTTAATGTACACTAAACCTAACCCACTAACCTAACCCACTACATCCACCCCACTAAAACCTACCACTACACACCTCCACTACTTCTCATCCACGGCTCTCACACACGCCACTCACCCATGCACACTCAGCCACCTCTCTCTCACCCACGGCTCTCACACACGCCACTCACCCATGCACACTCAGCCACCTCTCTCTCACCCACGGCTCTCACACACGCCACTCACCCATGCACCATCATCTTGCTTCAGCACACCAACATTACTGGCTACTCCGTGATCTCCGGCTTAGCCATGGGCATGGAACTCATCTGTTGGGTTTCTGAGTTTGATTTTTGGGTTCTCTCAATGCCAAGATTTGTGCTGCTTCCACCATGGGTATGGGGGCTGCATACACACACACCCTCCATACACTGTCACCCACTTCTCTTTCTCTCTCTTTAAACCGAGAGACCAAACCAACCTCTCTCTCGGGCTCCCTCTCCCTCGGCTATCTTGCAGCACCACACCACACACTGCCATACTCACACACAAAGCTTGAGACACACAAAAAATTGAGCTACACACACACTGTTTTGAGGGAAACATACTCACAAGCAAAGAGAAAAGATACACAACACTGATCTGGCTCTCTCGGCACCTGGTCTCCCTCTCTCGGCAGTTTTTGGTTCTCCAGGCACACACAACACAGATAGCAGCGCACATACACCATATCCAGCACATCACACATAGCTACAAAGGGACTCGGCATCAATCTCTCTCAAGGGCTTCTTGGAGACAGATGATACACACATACGGGTTGCTCTCTCTCTCTCTCAACAGAGACACACTCTCTCTCTCGGACACACACACACATTCACAAAGAACACAGTCAGAACACAGTCACAAACACACCATACACACGACACACCATACCCACTTCCCTCTCCAATAAAATAAATTCTCCACTATCTCATCTGCATATGCATACCCAGCTCACTCTCCACTTGATCACATGGCATGTCCCCTCTCTTTCTTTTTTTTTTGATTTCCCTTAAGTTCTTATTTAAATATTTATTTTTCTCTCTCCATTTATATATTTTATTATCCTCTGTTCCCACTCACCCCCTCAGTCAAGCTCGCCCTCACCTTTCTTTTATTATTTATATGTATATGTTTTACTATCATCGTAATGAATTGCAAAGATTCATCAAAATAGAAAATTTGTAGTATTTTTGTCATTAATTTTTAAAAAGATACAAATACTTTGGAACAAAAAAATATTCGAATAAAACCTTTGGACTTGTTTGGTTTGGTTTTGAGAGACAAATTTTGAAAATAAATTATGGGAAAAGAGTTTAGAAATTTATTTGGTTTGTATATTTTCGAACTGCTTTTGGAGTATAGGAGTTTTGAAAATAATTTTGTTATAGTTGAATAGATGTGTATGAGAGAAAAAAGTGATTGAGAATGAGAAAGGCTTGACAAAAAGTGATTGATTGATGTATAGAAGATAGAAAGTGGTTTTTATTTTTTTTGTTCCAAAATTCACTAAACCAAACAAAATTTTAATTAATTTTTATATGTGAAAATTAAAATAAATGTTTCCAAACAAATGTTTTTAATTTTTTGGAGAAATAGATACAATTTTCAATTAAATAAAAATTGTAATTAATTTTATTATGTGAAACTAACAGCAACTTCATTAATTAATTCATTTTAATTAATTTTGCAAACAAATGTTTGCACCCTGCGTCGGAGAGATCGCAACGGTGGCCACGTGGAAATTAACACTAATTTCTTATAAAAATCAATATGGGCAATTTGGTCAATTTACATTCTATTATGATTTCAAACACATTTTTTAATATAATAATTCTTATAAAATCCATCAGATCTTTCTAAGCACACAAACTAAAATACCTTATTAAAATAGTCAAACTATTAAAAAATCTCAAAAAAATTCGCTTTCCAAATAATCACGTTAATTGGTAAAGATGATAATCATAATTAATAAGGGTGACAATTGCAATAGATAAGAATTACATTGAGTATCCGGGAAGTCGTTCAACTATTTGTCTTAGTCACGTCATTCAGGCAGACACCTATATTTGGATGGACCAAATACTTTTCTAAAAAAGAAGGATAAATTATACTTAGTGTCCTTTATTTTTGGCCAATTTTATTTATTTTTTTGTCTCTAATTTTATTTTATTTTCAACTTTGACCTTTTATGTTTTAAGATTTTTCAGTTACTCTTAAAGTTAATTTATGTTTAAAATTAGACATAAAAAATATCATGATAATTATCCTATAATATTGAAATATATTATTATATTAGAGTTTAAGTTTATATCAGAGATGTGAATTATATATAATAAAATATTTTTATATCCCTTAACTGTCAATATGTCATTTTTTGCCTAATTTTTGACATATATTAGATTTAGAAGTAAATTGAGAAAAATTTAAACATAAAGGGCTAAAGTAAAAAAATAAATTTCGAAGGGTAAAGTGAAAAAATAGCCAAACATAAAAAGGATAAAGTATAATGTTTTAAATGTTTTAATTAATTTTTAAAGTTTTGTCTATAATTTTTATTTACAAATATTTTACTTTTAAAGTATTAATAAAAATATTTTGGAATGACGATGTCACTAATGAGCTTCTATATAATTTTTTTTTTAAAAGATAGTTTGAATAATGTACTTCCAGTCACGTTATAAATGTTAGTACTTTTTTTGTACATATATTTTTCTTTGAGATATAATAAAACAACAATGCTAGAGTGCCACAATTTTTGTGGTCACAATAGCTCAAAATTGTCAAAATCACATCGTTTTGGCATGTTTTGCATCCAAAACGACGTTTGGCATGTT